GCCCTGCAGTCCCACCACCAAGTGATGCTCGCGGCGGTGAAGTGCAAGCAGAACGTGGACCCCGCCCTGGCCGACGCGCTGGATGCCGCGGTCGCCGAGATGAGCAAGATGTACATGAAGTGATGGCCTTTGTTTCAAGTTGGGCCCTGCCCTTGAACAGATCTCACGCCCTCGTGTGTCACAGAGGCGTGGCACAAGACCAGATTTTCATGGTAAAAAGGTGCGACCGTTGGGCTGACGGATGTGCAGTTGCAGTGTTTCGCCAGTAGGTTGCCATGTGCGGCCTTTTGTCCTCAGCCAACGCTGGGCGACCAAAGTCTCAAAGAGCATTGCATCCCAGGAGTGCACGTGGAGCGCGTCTCGCATCGCGGAGCTCGTGGCGAGAAGAGGCCCATCGCAGCTGATCGGCTCCTACCACAACTTTGGCAGGAAGCGGCGCTCATCGGCCAGGGCTCCTTAAAGGATACATTTTGCCCATTTGAAACATGGCTTATTCCACCAAAATAAAGGGACACCACCATTTACAGGGCAATGGTCAGGTGTAATCCAAGGATCCCTGTTTGATGTTTCCAGGAATGGCCAGTCAATCACGGCCCTTTTTGCTCGACTCAAAGGCTTGTTCACCCACGCCTCCCAGCAATAAATGCCTGCACAAAACTGCAAGGCCGGCGCGTATACATAGCGGCTAGAGCTGAAAGGGGGGTTTGCAAGTTGTGGGGGCTGCCAGGATGCTGAGCAGATCCGAGCTGAAGGATGTGCGGCTCGGCGAGCTTCGGTAAGCTCTTGTCGCCGAGTTTCTCCGCCGGGCTTGTGACAAGTTGGGGCGACCAGAAGCGGGACTGGGCTTCACAGGTTCCAGAGCTGCCTGCTGGACGGCGCAGCGGCCATCGCCAAAGTGGTGGTGAAGGCAGAAGCCAGGGAGGACCCGATTGCCTCAAAATTTGGGCTGGAAGTGCTCAGTTGCCAGAAGCCCTTTTCAAGGTAGCTGTCAATGAGTTGACGTCTCAATAATAGCGGCGCTGAAGCAGGCGCAACGAAGCTTGCGCAACGCCCAACCCTGAGGACAACTGGATCGTGCAGGAAGTTGGGCGCTGGCCTGAGGTCGAACCTAGTGACAAAGTCTTGTGTTGGCTTCTCGGGTGCGACGTCTGGCTTGGCAGATGTTTCGGGCTGATGTCGCCGCCCTTTCCAGACTGCTTTGCTGCAGGAAGGCGACCACCCCGGAGAGCGCAGCCTTCATCGGGCTTTGCCTGGGGGAGAAGGGGAAGCTGTCCCGGGTGCTGAACCAGGTCAGCTTGCAACTATCAAAATAGGTTCAAGAAGCAAACCCTACCAGAACCCCGGCCCCACTTCACAAGGAGACCCAAAGAAGGCTCAAGCAAATTGCGGTTGAAACCATTGGCAGAAGTGGGCTAGCTCGAGCGCGCCTGCAGGTCATGTGCCCGTCCATGTGCTCCAGCCCTCTTCTTCCCCCGGGGGCCCCGGGGCAGATGGCGGTGCCGGAGCTGCTGGATGTGCGGAAGCGGCTGGGCCTGCAAGGCCCGCACCGCCACTTCGCGGTGCTGGCGCCCTGGGACGACCCCCAGGCGGGTGGCGGGGTTATGTTGGGTTTGCAGTGGTTTTAGTGAATCTGTTGGAGCGCCTCATGCAATCTATGAGCGGGACAGGACGGAGTGTGCCGTATGCTTCACCTCGCCTTTTCCCACCAAGCACACAAATCCAATCATGGCCCGAGTTTGTTTCAACCAAACTTCGAGTGGCACAAAACCCCTGCCAACCCCGCAGTAAGAGACAGGAGGGCAGCACACACCCCCAAAACGGTGGGAGGGGAGGTTGGCACCTCAAACTGTTGGAGGTTCAGAGGTTTGGCTCGGGGCTGTGGCGCCAAGCCTCGCCTGGCCAAGGCTGGGCTGTACTGCCGGGTGCTGGCCGGCGCCTTCCGCGCGCTGAAGGTGGGGCATCAGGTGGCCAGGGAGGGCCCGGAGGCGCTGGACCGAGTGCTGGGCCTGGCCTCCACCGGAGGGGCGGTGCTGTCACCCGGCTGGTGGGGTGGGGAAGCCGGATGGGAAGGGTGGGGTGGGAGGTGGGGTGTGGGGAGACAGGGAGCACTTGGAGCCTTTAACCTCCCCGTAGCATTTGATATGGCGGCAGCAGCAACCAAAACGACAAGCACCAACAACAAAGAAAACGAGCAAAGCAGCAACCGAGCACAGCAAGCAACAACAGCAAGCGACAGCTTCAAGCAACCACGCCCGCGGCCACCGCCACCACCACCACCACCACCGCCGGAAGAAGAAGAAGAAGAAGAAGAAGAAGAAGAAGAAGAAGAAGAAGAAGAATACGCGGGCAACAAATGAGTGCAGCAGCACCAACTTCAACAACGACACCAACCGCAACAACTACAATAGCTGCGGTAGCCGCAGCCACCGCAACCACGGCGACAAAACCGCGCTGATACAGCCCCAAAAGCATGTCCTGGTTCAAACATTGCTTGCCCAATTTGGCAAACCGCGCTTTGCACACTCCGAGGCTGGGGCACGTCTGCTCCGCGCGCCCAGAGCTGCAAGACTGCGTGTCCCTTTCCCCTGAAACGAAGGGAAGCTGCTGCAAAGCGGAGGCGCTGAAGGACGCCCACCGTCATCTGCCCTGGCTTCTGCCTCCAGCTGTTGATTTGCCATGCCTTGTGGCACCTCGTGGCCATGATGAGAGTGTTACTGTTGATTGAGAGCCGTGCCGGGGCCACCAAGCCGTACAGCAAACTGGGATCCACAAGCCCCACCCCCAAAGGAGCGCTCCATTGGCGTGAGCCCTGCAAGGAGCTTTTGGGGTCCAAGCCCGGCACCGGGGCAGTGCTGGGGCCGGCCGCCACAGCGCGCCCGGCCTTCGAACGTGTGGTGCCGGTGGCAGACCTGGCGCAGGCCGAGGGGGTGGCGATTGAGATGAGGCATGGGCGATGTTTTTTTCTTTCCTCTAGGGCCCTCTATTTGTCACCAAGCCTAGGAGGCGTTTCGGCCCATGCTCCAAAGAAGGAAAGGCATTGACTGACAAAAGGAATGTTGAAGGGAGCTTTGCGCAAGGGAGGCGCGGAGCTGCAGCACAATCTCTGAAGCCTCATCCCAGAAGCACCAAGAACTCCTCTGGTTCAGGACCATTCGGACAAAGACAAAGACCAGGGGACCCCTCCGACCCGCGCAGTATTTCGGCACCATCCGCAGTACCCTTCAGGCTCTTTGTTTGTCAGCGTGGCAATCCTGTCACTGTTGGTAGGGTTGAGTGACAGGCAAAGGAGCTTGCTGCCGTGGTGTTCGCTGGGCAGCTTGGCTGAGATTTGATTGTGCACCAGATTTGCTCGTCAGGTCCTATGCGGAAGAGAGCCAACGGGAGCTGTCAAAATCGAAACCACTCCAGTTGAGCTGTTGAGTTAAGAGGAGCTAATCAAGCGGCCAGTAAGGATGGAGAAGGGCACCAGCATTGACGAGCTTCGTCAAAAGCTGGAGCCTGCTCTTAAGACACTCGGCTGCATTCGCAGACCGCGGACTGACAGACCCGTGGAGACATTGACCCAGGGACTACATGGTAGGAAGCCAGGGCGAAGCCATTGACACATTGCGCACGCACGCGGGCCACGGCCATGCATCTCCAGCCGCTCAGGGCATCAAAGCCGCGTGTGGTCGACATGTCGCCGCCTTGCATGGAGGCATCGGATGTTTGAAGCGCTGATTCCCTGTGCTTTGCGGGCCTGGAAGCCTACATTTCCGTTCCAATCATTGTGCGTCATGGTCAGCTTTCTTGCACAACATCCCCATGAGCCACACAGATGCGACAAAGATGCCCAAAGAGACGACAGAACAGAAAGAATGGGGGGTCAAGCAAGCGGCTCGGGTGGGGGGGGGGTGGAACATGACCCAGGGGCCCACTGGGGAAACGGGAAGCGGGGATCCTTGGTCCAGGCGCCCGGCTGGCTCCTGGACCTGGCCAGCAGCGCTGGGTGTGAGGTGCGGGGATGGGTGGAAACCCGGTTCTGCCGTTGAATGAAGGTGCCAAGCCAGCACACGTTTAAGGGAGGAAACACACACATGCATATCTATATCTATATCCATATATGCGAGGAGGGCAACTTTTGGTGCGGGGTGTTTGGGTGTTTGGACGACCAGTGTGGGGGCTGGCCCTCTGTTTGTGAAGCGGCTGGATGTTTTCATTTTCCACACCGTGTCGGGCACCCGGGGACTGTGACGTCTGACCATGCTCCCCGCGGGAGTTTTGACCCCCCAGGTGGTCACGGCAGACGCCTTTTTGCTGGAGGAGATCCTTGCCATCTTGCGGTGGTGGCAGCTTGAGGCAGGGAGGTTGGGATTTTTGAGCGAAGCTCCACACAAAATACTGATAACAAATGTGGACACTGCTTTTTGGACTGACGGCCCCTTCGGCCTTCGTTCGAGCGTTTCAAAGCTGGGAAAAGGGGGCCAGCATCCAGGGGCACATTTTAGGGCGCTTTGTCTTGGGAGCCATGTGGGCTCTCCCCGCCTGCGCCAGGCCAGCCGAGGGCTCATCGCGAAGGCGGCGGCCCATGGGTATCATATAGCCTGGGTGCTAGTTGGCCCCTAGTTTTGCAGCTGTTTCCATAGGAAACCGCAAGGGGATAGGCAATTGTTGTTTTTCATTCGCCTTGTAGGTTGGGGGATGCGGCCTGTGGTGCGGCATTGACAGAGGTAGCTGTCCTTGTCAGGTCATCATCGCGGAGTTGACCAAGCTTGGAAGGAGCCCTTGCAAGGCACTGGCTTTGCACTCAAGCGTGCTTGAGCGGCGGCGAGGGAAAAAGCACTGCATCCAGCTCGCATTGGACCGCTGCATGGCAGGCAGTGCAAGCAGCAGGAGAAGCTTGGGCGTGACCCGTTTTTCCCATCGACCTTTCCAGATCGCTGCGCTGCGAAATGGCGCGATGTGAGGAACGAGGGGTGGCGCACGGCCCGGCTTTTGCCCTTCTCCCCCCGTCCCCCGAGGCTCCTGGAGGGAGGTGCTGACCCCGGCGCAGGCGAGCCTGGTGGATGAGATGTGCCTTGGCCGCGAGGGGCCGTTTCCGCGGATGTTTGGTTTGGGGCCATGGATCTCCATCCCACAAAAGAACGTTGTTTTTTGGTGTGCTACCCCCCTGCGCCCTTTTTTGGACAGGACGTGGAAGCACTTGGGCCCCGAGATCCGGGAAGGCGGGTGGGTGGCTTTCGAAAGCCGAGAGAAGCCGAGTCTCCGAGTTGAGCCTGAGGCTTGCGCATCACAGACCTGCCTGAAAAAGCAAGCGCACGCGCGCTTGGTCTAGAGGTCTGGCCTGTCGGAGCCCTTGGAACTGGTTGAGCAGTGGCCCTGCAGCTTTGGAGACAGATCAATGCGCGAAAGATGGATCATCAAAGCCATGAACGGCGAGTGGTGGTGCTTTGGAACATGTTCGCACTTAGGCAATTCCATTCAACCAACCCGCACGTTTTGCTGTCTAAAGGACGGATGTGTTCCTTCAATCGCCCACGAAACCTACGGGTAGCCAGAGCTCGGTGAGCCGAAGGCATGGCGTGCAATGGAGCTCGCCCTCCGAGACCTGCATGGCGTTCGGCCAGACATCGGGGAGAGCCACGAATTCGCGAAGGTCTCAGCTGAGCTGGATGCCGCGCACACTGCCGCTCGGCCAAGATGCATTTTTCCTTGGTGAGTCGCAGATGGGAGCGCGGTGCTGGAGGGGACGAAATGGCGAGCAAACGTGGCCAACCTGGAGGCGTCGTTCTATTCCAGGCGTCAACACTTTGTGCGAGGTATCAACTGTACGGCTCACCAAATGTGCAGGGTTTTGAAGTTAGGTGCACTTTCTAAAGTAGCACATAGTTGCCGCCCTTCCTAATTCCACGGGTTTCGTCTTTGCCTTGCAACCTGGGGTTATGGTCACTCATGATGCAGGCTCGCGGAATGGAGTCTCTGCATGTGAGTCTTTTTGAGCTTGCAGGGAAAGCCCTTGCATGAATGCGGCCGAGGCATGGAACCGAATTTGCCAACAGCTGGAAGCCCAGCTCCGGCGGCTGCGCGCCGCGGCCGGCGGCCAGAGCTTGGCCCAGGCGCGGCAAAGGACAGGAGGATGGACCCCAACAACGGATTGGGTTGCTATATGGCTACATCCCACCTGGGGGTTGGGGGAGTTGCTGGATTTTGCGCCACAAACAAAAAAGGGACGAGTGATAGTGACATGGATCCATATCAAGAAAGTTTGTTGGCGCCCGAATTTTCCCCACGGTTTCTTGCGAAGCTTCAAGTCATTCTGAGCGGGGCCCGACGGCATCGACAGGTGCGAGAGCTTGCGCGGGGCCTTGGCGCCTTGGCCTGGGAGCAGTTGGAGGTGTCGACGGCCGGGGACACGGTGCACTCGCTGGAGGAGAGCCAGAGGCCCTTGCGGGCGACGTGCGCGGACGTGTGGCGTGTCCCGAAAAAATGGGGGGGGGGGGGAGAATTTGGGACCCCTCCCAAAAGAAATGCCTAAATTCCTAAACCAATTTGCCCCAAATTCGGATCATTTCGGGGGGTGGTTTTCCCTAAACAAATTTGCCGCAAATGATCTGACCAGCCCAACCGCTTTTCAAGCGGCCGTGTTGCAGGCGCTGCGAGAACTTGAGCCGGGAGATGGTGAGGCAGGCGCAGAAGCACGAGGATGCCAGGGGGAGGGGGGCAAGAAAGCAACGCGGGAGCAACCTTAGAAGGTTCAAGATTGCCCGCGCTCTTTCGTTGTGTGTTGACCGCGTTCGCGCAGATTCATGCAGCAGGAGGCGGGTGCCAGCAATCCTTAAGGCCTCCCCCCCGTACCCCTCCACCCTTCGGACTTCTTGTCTGTAACGGGCCTGTTTCAGTTGGCCATGCGCACCATATACGTGCCACGCACACTGCAGTCAATCGTGGTAAGAGTTGAGATTTCGCGGCATGATACCCCTGCATTAGGCACTATTCAATTTTTCGGCATTGCATCAGCTTGCTCGTTTCGGTCCGTGGCAACTTTGCCCCGTCATTGAAGCTTGCTTGCAACCACCGGGAATCACCGGCTTCACCCATTCATCAAAGAGTTGGGCACGCTTGTTCCCTACATGGGCGAGGGGGCATCAACCTCACACGTCTCAGTCCAGCTTTTACCCTTTGGTTTGTTGATTTTGCGTCAAGGTCTCCAAGGCAAACCTTTTTTTCCCAGGTTCCTGGGGCGAGGGGTGCCACTGTTTGGATGTCTTAAGGGAAGCCGAACAGAAACCAACCACCTGGTTCCTCAGTCTCACTCACTGGATCTCCCAAAGGCTCGAACACCTCCAGGGAAGCAACTGCCTGGACCAACAAATCCACAATTTCACTGATTTCAGACCGAACCCCTCCGTGCCCCTTTGCTCTTCGCTGCTTGCTCGGATCCGAATGTTTACGGCTTCTCGGGGGCGCGAGCCCTGTTTCTCTCAACGTTTGGCTCACTTGGCAGTGAAAAACGATCGTGTGTCGAGCGCCGGCTGTTCCACCTGGACAGAGGTGCATTTTGCTTGGAGGTTAGGACTTCAACTCTTTGGCAACCAATCAGATTTCCACTAAACCACTAAAAGTTACACTTTTAGCAGGGGAGCAGAAAGCAACCGACTAAAAATCTGGCCACCCTTTGTTTTGGGGGTGCTGCAGGGGAGATCTGTCCAGTTGTTGCAATCTTGGTGGCTTCTTGGAGACGATGTTGGTGTGGAGCAACCGAGTAGACCTTGCAGACCGACCCAAAGCACCGACGTCGCTGCGCCGCACCGCCGCACCGCCGACGGAGGAGCTGGTGGCGGCGGTGGCGGCGCTGCAGGACACCAACCGGCGCCTGGTGGAGCAGATCCGCTTCCAGGCGCGCTTTGTGACGGGGGGGGGGGGGTGACGTGGGGGCATAGGCCGCCAGGGGTTCCGGCAGTAAGAAGCGCCTTTGCAGCATATGGCAGTGGGTCAAAACCAATGGGATCCCATTTTGGGGTAGGTGCACCACCCATCTTAGTCTGTTTTAGTGGTGATTGGGATGGTCACTGGAGGTGCGGGGTTTCAACACATGGCCATATGGGCGTCTTGAGTTTTAAGAGCAGCTGTTTGGGGTTAGTGCGACGGGATTTTTGTTTTTGGGGGTCCTCCAATCATTTAGTAGATTGAAGCACACAAGCAGAGAGAGTGTAGCTGTGCATGCATATGGGCCCACACAGGCGCAGACGCACTTACACACATCAATGTTTTCTTCCCTTTACGGAGTGTATCAAGGGAACCTAGTACCTGGCACGAGAGAGAGAGAGGGAGAGAGAGGGAGAAAGCGAGGGTACGTTGCTATACCTACTCCCACCCCGCCCCCCCCCAAAAAAAATGTAGAAAAGGCTGATTCTAGGGGGGTGGGGGTTGATGGTTGCCTGTTCTGTTTTTTATTTCACAATTCAACACGTGTACCACCTTATCCGTTTTTAAAAGGCTGATTCTGGGGCCAAGAAATAACGATATGGATGTGGTAACGAATTGATGATTTGGTCCCCTGTCTCGTTCCAGATTTCAACTTTTAGTTTTATTGATTGAAAGAGGATAGCACTTTTTGTGGTTTCATGGGTTGGCTTTTGGGCGGTTGTTGTGGTTTGTCATTTAATGAAATGTTTATAGATTAAAAGTTCACTATAATTATAACATATAAGAGTATAAATGATATAATTATGGTTTAGTTATGAATTACACAGGTTCATCAACAATTAGTTTAAACCTTATGTTTTGTACTCCTCCAAAATTCATTCTACTTCTTTCTCTATCAATACAACTGTTTATTGTTTGATGCGCCGCTCTCATTACATCGGCTATATTATCTATGGTTATATTATCCACAACATCATCACTACGAAAATAAAAACTAAAAGTGTTAAAATGGTTGTCTTCATAATTGAAATGATGAAACCTTACAAACATATTTACCTCAACTATTATCACTGCTTCATAACCGTTATCGGTTTCAATACCATCTAACAAACAATCTAAGTTTTCATTTTCATTAAACACTATATCTTTGATGCTTTTTATGCTTAAAGGTATATTTCTTGAAATGTAATACTCAATTACGTGTCTCTTTATATCATCACCATCTTCAACAGTATAGCGCTTTGTCTTTCTTTTTGTTTCTGTTCTGTCTATTTTATATCGTTGTTGTATTCTCTTTAATGTCTTAATATGATTATGTTTTAGTTTCAAATACTCAGGTCTCCCTAATTTATATGAAATGATACCTTTTAATACATCAGCAGGTAAGCTAGCACAATTCTCAAATATAAAATTATTCTCTGACATTTTACCCTCACTCATTTTTCTCTTAATATATAAGGTTTTTTCTCTTTAAGTAGTTTTTTTTAATGTTAAGGGGTGGGGGTTATATCGATAAAAAATATTTTCTAACAAATAATATAATGGCGAGATTAACGAAAGACCAAATAATCAGCAACATCTATTATGACTTAGACGAGGGTTTCGGAAGCACACAAGCAACACACAAGAAGGCAAAGGAAGAAGACCCAACGATAACATTAGAAGATGTAAAGTCTTTCTTAAAGAAACAACCAAATAAACAAATCAAAAATTATAGAGGCACTAATTCCTATACCGCCCCGTTTGCTAGGTATGAATATCAAATAGACATAATGCATATGTCACCTTTAGCTAAAGACAAGAACGTTCCACAGTATGCTTTAGTCGTGATTGACATCTTCAGTAAATTAGCAGATGTAATACCGATGGAGGAAAGAGACGGAGAGCACGTTCTAAAAGCACTAAGAGCAAGTTTTAAAAAGATGGGTTATCCGATGTCCGTGTATTCTGATGATGATGGAGCATTTGCAACCAAAAACCAAGTTCAGGATTTCTTCAACAGCGAAGGTATCAAACACATAATAACGAAGACACACGCAAATGTAGCCGAACGTTTTATTAGGACAATGAAAAACAAAATTCATGATAGAGCTAGGTTTAACAATATGAAATGGACCGATGCCTTAACACCAGCATTGAAACAGTATAACAGCACATTACACTCGTCAACAAGGATGACACCAACCGAAGCACACAAGGACGACAATGAAATAAATGTAAAAGTCAATCTGAAACTACGAGAAAAGAACAAAAGAAAATATCCCAAAATACAGGAGAACGATAAGGTAAAAGTGTTTCAAAAGAAAAGGGGCAATTACACCGACAGAAAAGAGTATAACTCTAAATGGTCTAATAAGATATTCAATGTTGATAAAATTGAATATGATATTATGGGTAATAAAACTTACAGAGTAGCAGGAATAAACAAACCACTTCTGAGACACGAAATTTTGTTAGTTAATGATTAAACATATTTCTTGGTATCTTCAATATACTTGACTTGGTAGAAATCCAGACTTGATTGTTTAGGTTCTTTAATGACTTTTTCATTAAGTTTTTTAATATATACATTTCGTTTATTCTTGTATTCAGTGCTCTCTCTATCAACTTCTTTTGGTTGGTAATTATTAATATTATTTAAGCTGGTTTCTTCATACTTTCTAACAGTTGATAAATGCGTTTATTTTGTTCCATTATTTCATCAATTTTCAAAAATAGTTTATCCACACCTTCCATATATACTATATTATAAAACTAAAGTTTTAAAACTAAATATTTTAATTTCGAAGGTCTCTGTTTCTTAAATGTTTAAATTCTTCGCCTTCTACCATAAGTCTAACAATGTTATCTAAATCTTTTTGAGTATGACCACATACTAACGCTTTGTCTAGATATAAATATTCATAGCTAAGACCAACACTAAGTAATAAAAAGTTATATCTTTTAGTTTGAGTACGAGTTAAGACTATTTTACATCCACACTTACAAGTATAATAACTAACACCATTATAATTATTGTCTCCAATTTGCTTGTCTAATTCAAGTGCTCCAAAATGTAAATGTGTTAAACTTGAAAATTCAACCATATACTATATTATTCAACTATACTTTTAAAACTAAATGTTTAAATTATGTTAATTCTACTCTTTAAATACTAATTTTTCATCATTTCACGTATAGTTTCCTGCGTTTCGTTATCACCATTTTCCGAGAGTGCTGCATCCTTACCCCATTTAAAAGTTATATTATGAACATCTGTTTCTAAGTTGATACTGTCTTTAGTTTTATCAATATTCATTTTCTTATCATTTTTACTAATTTTGAAACTTGTTGGAATACACGAACATTTACAATTTCCTTTCTTTTGTATTTGTAATTCATTCTTAAGTTCTAACATTCTTTTGCATGTAGGACAAACAACCTCAATAACTGATGTTTCTTTAACAATTTCTTCATCAGTTGATGAAACACTTAAACCTGTCTTATTTTTTTTGTTTTTCTTTTTTGGCATTTATATTAATATTTATATTTTTAATATATTGTATCAAAAACTTAATTAATTCTAAAATAAAATAACATATTTTTTTACATCTATTATCAGTTATGACACCGTTCTATATTCTCCATTTCATTATTATATTAATATAATCTGTATAACTCCTTTTCATATTAAATAATAAGATAAATTATTTTTCATTTCTGTCTTTCTTTTCTTGTAAAGTTTTTTCATTGTATCGTCTTTATTCCATCTATATTCTACAAATTTCTGATGATATTTTGAATTTAGATGTTTAAATAAATATTTGTCATCATAAGTTTTACCACAACTGCAATGGATAATAGTCATATAAATAATAAGATAAAATATTTATTTAATCTTATTATTTTCATGCATAATAGAATATTGGTGGGGCACAGCACTTGGGGTTTTCATTGCATACGCGAGCAAGACACAAAACTAATTATCTTCAATACTTATTGACTGAAGTTGATGAAAGAGCCTGTTCTACTACGATAGACACCATTCATATCATAGCAATGCTTTCATACAATAAATAATATTAATTTATTTTCGAAATATTTTTGATATTATTATTTTATGCCTGAAGTTCCCATTATAAAACCAATAAACATAACTGATTATGAATTCAAACAATCCAAATATGAACATGTGCCAAAACTACCTTTTCGCTCAATTGTTGTTGCTTCATCAACGGGTGGTAAAACAGTTTTAATTCAAAACCTTATCCTAAATGTTTATAGGGACTGCTTCGCCCGTATATTCATTTTTAGTCCGTCTGTTCATAATGACCCTACCTTCGTTGAAGTCAAGAAATATCAAAAAGATAATATGAAGGTTGATGATGAAAAAGAAAAGTTATATTATGACACCTACCAACCTGAAGAACTGGAAGAAATAATTAACACGCAAAGAAAGATAATTCATTATATGAAAGAACAGAAGATGAAGAAACTACATTCAATTTTAATCATAGTTGATGATTTTGCAGACGACCCTAAATTTGTTAGATACAGCAAGTTATTACATGGACTGGCAACGAGAGGCAGGCACGACGCCATTAGTTTTTGTTTAAGTGTTCAAAAATATCGTGTCCTTGCTCCAATCATTAGGTTGAATTCTAGTTCGTTGTATATCTTCAAGTTAAAGAATGTATCAGAGTTAATGTCATTCATTGAGGAAAACTCGGCCATCGTTGATAAAGAGCAACTGTTAAATATGTATCATAAAGCAGTAGATGATAAGCCCTACTCCTTCTTTTATGTCAATATGAATTCCAAAGATGTTAATAATATGTTTTATGTTAGATTTGAGAAAGCTTTTAAAATAAAATAAATCTATTATATATTATAGAATGTTAAAAATGTTTCAAGAAAGAATATATGAAGAACCAGTAAGGTTTTTCGGTGATGACGGACGTAGTCCCTCATCAGGGCGAAGCCGTGATGACA